TGTGCTCAGCAGGTTGCGTTTGACCGAATAGCACTATTTGCTGCAATGTGCAAAAATAAGTTTTTTCCAAAATTTTTTCATATCTCACGAACTATTGAACCAATCGAGATGAAACTCAGCGCGTTGTGCTCAGCAGGTTGCGTTTGACCGAATAGCACTATTTGCTGCAATGTGCAAAAATAAGTTTTTTCCAACATTTGTCATATCTCACGAACTATTGAACCAATCGAGCTGAAACTCAGCGCGTTGTGCTCAGCAGGTTGCGTTTGACGGAATAGCACTATTTGCTGCCATATGCAAAAATAAGTTTTTTCCAACATTTTGTCATATCACACGAACTATTGAACCAATCGAACTGAAACTCAGCGCGTTGTGCTCAGCAGGTTGCGTTTGACCGAATAGCACTATTTGCTGCAATGTGCAAAAATAAGTTTTTTCCAACATTTTGTCATATCTCACGAACTATTGAACCAATCGAGATGAAACTCAGCGCGTTGTGCTCACCAGGTTCCGTTTGACCGAATAGCACTATTTGCTGCAATGTGCAAAAATAAGTTTTTTCCAGCATTTTGTCATATCTCACGAACTATTGAACCAATCGAGCTGAAACTCAGCGCGTTGCGCTCAGCAGGTTGCCTTTGACCGAATAGCACTATTTGCTGCAATGTGCAAAAATAAGTTTTTCCAACATTTTGTCATATCTCACGAACTATTGAACCAATCGAGCTGAAACTCAGCGCGTTGTGCTCAGCAGGTTGCGTTTGATGGAATAGCACTATTTGCTGCAATGTGCAAAAATAAGTTTTTTCCAACATTTTGTCATATCTCACGAACTATTGAACCACTCGAACTGAAACACAGCGCGTTGTGCTCAGCAGGTTGCGTTTGACGGAATAGCACTATTTCCTGCAATGTGCAAAAATAATTTTTTTCCAACATTTTGTCATATCTCACGAACTATTGAACCAATCGAGCTGAAACTCAGCGCGTTTTACTCAGCAGGTTGTGTTTGACCGAATAGCACTGTTTGCTGCAATGTGCAAAAATAAGTTTTTTTCCAACATTTTGTCATATCTCACGAACTATTGAACCAATCGAGCTGAAACTCAGCGCGTTGTGCTCAACAGGTTGCGTTTGACCGAATAGCACTATTTGCAGCAATGTGCAAAAATAAGTTTTTTCAACATTTTGTCATATCTCACGAACAATTGAACCAATCGAGCTGACACTCAGCGCGTTGTGCTCAACAGGTTGCGTTTTACCGAATAGCACTATTTGCAGCAATGTGCAAAAATAAGTTTTTTCCAACATTTTGTCATATCTCACGAACTATTGAACCAATCGAGCTGAAACTCAGCGCGTTGATGCTCAGCAGGTTGCGTTTGACCGAATGGCACTATTTGCAGCAATGTGCAAAAATAATTTTTTTCCAACATTTTGTCATATCTCACGAACTATTGAACCAATCGAGCTGAAACTCAGCGCGTTGTGCTCAACAGGTTGCGTTTGACCGAATAGCACTATTTGCTGCAATGTGCAAAAATAAGTTTTTTCCAACATTTTTTCATATCTCACGAACTATTGAACCAATCGAGCTGAAACTCAGCGCGTTGTGCTCAGCAGGTTGCGTTTGACCGAATAGCACTATTTGCTGCAATGTGCAAAAATAAGTTTTTTCCAACATTTTGTCGTATCTCACGAACTATTGCACCAATCGAGCTGAAACTCAGCGCGTTGTGCTCAGCAGGTTGCGTTTGACCGAATAGCGCTATTTGCTGCAATGTGCAAAAATAAGTTTTTTCCAACATTTTGTCATATCTCACGAACTATTGCACCAATCGAGCTGAAACTCAGCGCGTTGTGCTCAGCAGGTTGCGTTTGACCGAATAGCACTATTTGCTGCAATGTGCAAAAATAAGTTTTTTCAAACATTTTTTTATATCTCACGAACTATTGAACCAATCGAGCTGAAACTCAGCGCGTTGTGCTCAGCAGGTTGCGTTTGACCGAATAGCACTATTTGCTGCAATGTGCAAAGATATGTTTTTTCCAACATTTTGTCATATCTCACGAACTATTGAACCAATCGAGCTGAAACTAAGGGCGTTGTGCTCAGCAGGTTGCTTTGACCGAATAGCACTATTTGCTGCAATGTGCAAAAATAAGTTTTTTCCAACATTTTGTCATATCTAACGAACTATTGAAGCAATCGAGCTGAAACTCAGCGCGTTGTGCTCAGCAGGTTGCGTTTGACCGAATAGCACTATTTGCTGCAATGTGCAAGAATAAGTTTTTCCAACATTTTGTCATATCTCACGAACTATTGAACCAATCGAGCTGAAACTCAGCGCGTTGTGCTGAGCAGGTTCGGTTTGACCGAATAGCACTATTTGCTGCAATGTGCAAAAATAAGTTTTTTCCAACATTTTGTCATATCTCACGAACTATTGAACCAATCGAGTTGACACTCACCGCGTTGTGCTCAGCAGGTTGCGCTTGACCGAATAACACTATTTGCTGCAATGTGCAAAAATAAGTTTTTTCCAACATTTTGTCATATCTCACGAACTATTGAACCAATCGAGCTGAAACTAAGCGCGCTGTGCTCAGCAGGTTGCTTTGACCGAAAAGCACTATTTGCTGCAATGTGCAAAAATAAGTTTTTTCCAACATTTTGTCATATCTCACGAACTATTGAACCAATCGAGCTGAAACTTAGCGCGTTGTGCTCAGCAGGTTGCGTTTGACCGAATAGCACCATTTGCTGCAATGTGCAAAAATAAGTTTTTTCCAACATTTTGTCATATCTCACGAACTATTGAACAATCGAGCTGAAACTCAGCGCGTTGTGCTCAGCAGGTTCCGTTTGACCGAATAGCACTATTTGCTGCAATGTGCAAAAATAAGTTTTTCCAACATTTCTCATATCTCACGAAATATTGAAGTAATTGAGCTGAAACTCAGCGCGTTGTGCTCAGCAGGTTGCGTTTGCCCGAATAGCACTATTTGCTGCAATGTGCAAAAATAAGTTTTTTCCAACATTTTGTCATATCTCACGAACTATTGAACCAATCGAGCTGAAACTCAGCGCGTTGTACTCAGCAGGTTGCTTTTGACCGAATAGCACTATTTGCTGCAATGTGCAAAAATAAGTTTTTCCAACATTTTGTCATATCTCACGAACTATTGAACCAATCGAGCTGAAACGCAGCGCGTTGTGCTCAGCAGGTTGCGTTTGACCGAATAGCACTATTTGCTGCAATGTGCAAAAATAAGTTTTTTTTTCCAACATTTTGTTACATCTCACGAACTATTGAACCAATCGAGTTGAACTTCAGCGCGTTGTGCTCAGCAGGTTGCGTTTGACCGAATAGCGCTATTTGCTGCAATGTGCAAAAATAAGTTTTTTCTAACATTTTGTCATATCTCACGAACTATTGAACCAATCGAGCTGAAACTAAGCGCGTTGTCCTCAGCAGTTTGCGTTTGACCGAATAGCACTATTTGCTGCAATTTGCAAAAATAAGTTTTTTCCAACATTTTGTCATATCTCACGAGCTATTGAACCAATCGAGTTTAAACTCATCGCGTTTTCTCAGCAGGTTGCGTTTGACCGAATAGCACTATTTGCTGCAATGTGCAAAAATAAGTTTTTTCCAACATTTTGCATATCTCACGAACTATTGAAGCAATCGAGCTGAAATTCAGAGCGTTGTGCTCAGCAGGTTGCGTTTGACCGAATAGCACTATTTGCTGCAATGTGCAAAAATAAGTTTTTCCAACATTTTGTCACATCTCACGAACTATTGAACCAATCGAGCTGAAACTCAGCGCGTTGTGCTCAGCAGGTTGTGTTTGACCGAATAGCACTATTTGCTGCAATGTGCAAAAATAAGTTTTCCAACATTTTGTCATATCTCACGAACTATTGAACCAATCGAGCTGAAACTCAGCGCGTTGTGCTCAGCAGGTTGCGTTTGACCGAATAGCATATTTGCTGCAATGTGCAAAAATAAGTTTTTTCCAACATTTTGTCATATCTCACGAACTATTGAACCAATCGAGCTGAAACTCAGCGCGTTGCGCTCAGCAGGTTGCGTTTGACCGAATAGCACTATTTGCTGCAATGTGCAAAAATAAGTTTTTTCCAACATTTTGTCATATCTCACGAACTATTGAACCAATCGAGCTGAAAGTCAGCGCGTTGTGCTCAGCAGGTTGCGTTTGACCGAATAGCACTATTTGCTGCAATGTGCAAAAATAAGTTTTTTCCAACATTTTGTCATATCTCACGAACTATTAACCAATCGAGCTGAAACTCAGCGCGTTGTGCTCAGCAGGTTGCGTTTGACCGAATAGCACTATTTGCTGCACTGTGCAAGAATAAGTTTTTTCCAACATTTTGTCATATCTCACGAACTATTGAACCAATCGAGCTGAAACTCAGCGCGTTGTGCTCAGCAGGCTGCGTTTGACCGAATAGCACACGATGGTTGGTTGCTATGCAGTTTGCTCCCGGAGTCAAATTGCGAGTGTTGTTAGTTTCCGGTCTCCTAGCTATGATTGTTGGCGCGGTTAAAATACCCCGTCTTTAGCGGTCTCGTTTGCGTTTATTTTAAAACATTTTTGAAACAATACTTGGCCAATCAGTACTTCCTTGAACCGTTTAGAGATATTGCAGCGCAAACTAGTCACAGGAGAAATGCAAAGCGGTAAATTATTGTGTTATTATGGGCATGTATTTTCGCATTCCTGTCGAAGGATATCACGCCCACATGGACAAATTCTACCGTCTAGGGGTCCCACAGCACCACACGTGTAAGCCCTACAATCTCCCTTTGAAAACCCCCCTGGATTTATAGCATTGCCAGAATTATAAGCAGAAATAGCTGAAAATTCCGCATTTTTCCTTGTATTTTTCAAATATTTTTGCTGAAACGTAAATTTGGAGACACTTCCCAAATCAAAGTTGAAGAATATCATTTACTGAAGAACTTCTAATGGCTAGCAGTAACGAAGAAAGGTGAGGAGAAAATATCCTTCGGCAAACTCATTTGCATTTATTAGCATATTCGTGACTCGCCATATTGTTGCTTCACCACCCGCTGTGTTTTATTTTAGCTCGATAGTATTTTGCTCTAAAACCAAATTGTGTGACCGAAATAAAGGTCATCCCGGGACATGCAACAAGAAGGGACGACTACAAAAGCGATTTTGGGAAGATTCTCCGTACTTTAAACTCCGAGGAGACCAAGGCGACTTGACACGCAAGTCACGCGAAGTGAATACGAAAGAAACGGAAGTCAAAATTTCGCAGGAAAATCTTGCTAAACAACGCGAAGAGTTGGATTTACATGAGACATCCGTTCAAGAAAGAGTCGATGCTGCCAGTAAGTATTATAAAATGTTGATATGTGACTTTTTATGCCAATACATTGAATATTTATGCTTGCCCTTTTGTACTGTACCAACTACCAAGACCATGTATTTGTAGTAAATTTAAGTCAGACTCAGCTGAGACTATATATATATTATAAAACAGATGGAATATTAGATTTAGTATTGGAACCCAGTTTAAATTTGCACATTGTATATATAGTCATCAAACTTTAAACTACAGTAATTGTGTACTGGAGTGTATATGATATTCTTTATTGCTGAGTCTATATATTTTTTTATTGTTGCAATGCTTGTTAAAATACTGACAAAATTCCTCAACTATTAAGTCTATAAGGGGCTGTTTATATGGGAGCCCGCTTTGTGAGACGGCCCGGTGAGCAGGATGAATTTATCTTGTGTGTATCTGAGAAAAGTCATCCTGCTTGCCGGTACAATTTTGTTCTAATTATAGTTGTTTTGAATGGTGGCAACTGGGCTAGCCCGCTTGTGTGTGTTTATATGGGGGCAAAACTCATCTCGGTAAGAGAGATCTCAGCTGTTGCAAGCAAGATACACACCTGTAGGAATTTTTACTATACATTCTAGTACAAGATGGGATCTTTCTTTGAAGCCGGTTACATGTCCTGTATAAACAGCATAAATTGTAAAGGCATAAATTGTTGTTATAGTGTTTTAGTGTTGCTATAGTGTCCAGCTAACCAAATTATACCAGGCGGCATTTTACCTTTGAGAAGTAAAATTGTCTGCCATTAGCCGAGATAAATTCAATATAAATTCAATATACATGCATGACGCAGCAAATAATATGTGGAACTCCTAATTTATCAGCAAGTATCAAAATCATATTTATCAATTGGGTCGTTCGAGAAAAGATCCATATTCCCCCCAGGGAGGAAATTTCTGCTGTCCGGAGGGGGAGGGGAGAAAAAATTGTTTCTGATAATAGTAAATGCATTAGGACATCCAAAGGGGGTAGGGGGGTTAACTTCCTATATCCTCTGTGGGGGTGGTATGGATGTTTTCTGGAATGACCCTTTGGGGGGTTTGTTATTTTTGTCGGTCTGTCTCTAGTCATGCATATATAGCATACTTAATTATATAAATCCAATTAAGTTCATGGATTTAAATTTTTACACACAGTGCATGCATGTAAAATGAAATAATTGGTTCCATAATTTTAATTTAGATGATGATTTAAATGCATCTATCGAACGACGAGAGGAAGTTGATGGAGAAGTTGCTGAAATTGAGCAACACTTGCAGAATATTTCACAGGAGTATGCAAAATTAAAAACCTTAATGGACCAGAAAGGGTATGCTCGCACACGCAGACAAAATACTAAAACTACCATTGATATGATCAGTGACCGTTGTTCCAGTGTCCGCTACAGACGACGGCAAGAGACCAAGAATGTACTTGAATACATCCATGGTGGTGAGGTTGCAGCAGTACTTGGAGCTTGGGATTTTGTAACAGCCCATGCAGACAAAGAACTTATGGACGACTTGATTAGTAAGTATAAAAGGGGAAAATACTTACAAGGGGTAATCAACAAAGCCATGAACGATCACAAGCAGTCCAAGGATTCCCTAAATCAAGCACTTGCTTTTAAGTACCAGAATTTTTTGTCTCGACGTAAATTTAATTTAATGTGTAAAACACAGTCTTCTGTGTTTGATCCTGATGCTGAAGTATGGTTACCACGAAATATGAAGTGCTTAGGGGTAGATGTTGAGTTGTCGCTTAGTCGAGTGTCTGATGACAAAATTGATAAATTTGTAAAATCATTAGATATAGGTAGTATTACTCAAATTCCAAATGCACCTGGGGTCACTAGGACCATCACTGGCCTTGTATTCATGATTATTGATTTGCATTTACGATTGCCACATCTTTTTCGGCAACTTATTTGGTTCAATGAAAATACCAATCATTTCATTTTCCAGTTTTCTGATGATGGTGCCCCTGAAACAAGCCAGCTCACAATGTCAATAGGCAGTATAACATTGTGGAATTTTGGGGAAAGGGTTAGAAGTAGGGAATTTCAGTACCTACTTCATTGTGTCAGCCTTGGCGAAAAGCATGCAATGCTTGAGCTTCTTTGGAGACAACATACTGATGAGATGCAGCTACTTGAGTCCAGTGTTTTTACAGTTTGTGGGAAGGAGTGCACAGTTGAGTTTCAGCCAAGTGCTGACATGAGTTGGCAAAGTTGGGCCTGCAATGAACTGAACCAGGCAGCTACACACCCTTGTCCCTATGCAAATGTGCACAAAAATAATATGTGTATTCTAGGTGGCACAATTGGTCTCGATCACAATGATACTTGGACACCGTACACAAACGACCTGCGTGCTGAGCATACAAAGAAGCTAAATGTTTTTATTAGTTCTCTAGCTACTAATATTAAAAGCACTACTCGTCATGAGAAAATGCTTGCTTTTATGGCTGAAAATGGGATGCGCCAACTTGGGACACCTAGAATTGGGGTGTTTGCGGAAAGAGTTCGACCAGATCCACTGCATTGTGAAATTAATGCATGGCAGCATTTATTAGATTTAATTTACTGTGAATGTGTGAAGCGCAACAGTTTCCAGCAGTTCATTAAAATATTATCAGCTCCTGTTGGTCTTGAACATAGTAATCATTTGGAAACTTTGGATCAGATTACAAACCCAGATGATTTAAATAATTCTATGTCAGAAGACACATTAACTTTGTCTGAGATTGCTATACCAGAGCATATAAACCTTTTAGAGGAACAAGCTACAGCCAATTTATCTGCGGCACTTAAAAGTAAGGCTGCCACACTAGATTCATCTGCAGACAAAGTGTATGGATGCGGTCTGGCATACTTAGCATCTAAAATTAAGGAGCATTACAGTGTCGAAGCTAAAAGGTCAAACAAATTGCCAACTCGATTGATAGGTAGTCAAGCTGTGAGCCTTTCTAGGCATGGCTACAGACTTGTTGATGCCTTGCAATATGATGAAGAAAGTCCTTTAGAGAATACCAAACGATTGGCACTTTCAAAAGCAGTGGAATATTTAAGAAATGCCAGCGGATTGTTTAACAAAATTAATTTAAGTTCCATTGGAGAAGTTGATCAACTGACTGAATTCTGTGAACTTTATTTTAATATTCTTGTTCTTTTTTTCCCCACAAGTATTAATGTTACTGTCTGGACAGTGGGGTATGCCATACCTTATCATGCCAGAAAATTGTACGAAGAATACCATATCGGTTATGGTATTTTGTCACTTCAAGCGAAGGAATCAAAACATGCTGGCATTAAAGGTGATCTTTCTTTAACCAACAGGTCAAATGAAAGTAGCACTAATGGCAAGTGGTGGCAAGTTTTGCGCTCAAATTATGTTAGGTCATTCTATCTTCCTGAACACCAACCTGCACCTCCATCATATATTTCTCATTTTAAGTCGCGTACACCACCACACTGCAGTAGGGTCGATTATTGTGCTTGTGGAAGAACTAAATTAGATATTGTGGATGAGCAGTGTGGGGTTTGCAAAGCTGCTAAAACTATTGTAATTAATTTTGTCACTTCAAGCGAAGGAATCAAAACATGCTGGCATTAAAGGTGATCTTTCTTTAACCAACAGGTCAAATGAAAGTAGCACTAATGGCAAGTGGTGGCAAGTTTTGCGCTCAAATTATGTTAGGTCATTCTATCTTCCTGAACACCAACCTGCACCTCCATCATATATTTCTCATTTTAAGTCGCGTACACCACCACACTGCAGTAGGGTCGATTATTGTGCTTGTGGAAGAACTAAATTAGATATTGTGGATGAGCAGTGTGGGGTTTGCAAAGCTGCTAAAACTATTGTAATTAAATGTGCTAAAGAAAAGAAGTTATCTAATGAAGTAATTTTCTTATTTAAGCCTATCATTTGCAGTAAATGCAATGAACGCTTTTCTGATGTGACCAATTTGAAAGCACACACTGATATTGTTCATCGCTCTCAGACTCTTGCTACTGAGAGCACTAGACCTTCTCACTCACTTATAAAGACTCGATTAAAAAGTATGAGTGTTACAGAGTTGAAGTCGGCCCTGAGGGAAAAAGGCCTATATCCACCTCTGGTAACAAGGAAATTTTAGTTCGAAGGCTGGAAAGTGTACTGCCAAATGCGAAGTAAAACTGTGAAATGGGCCACTGGGCCATATCAGTTTAATGAACAATGCCTTCAGTAGTTCAGTGGTGGGATGTGCCAGTACTCAGTAGAGTCAAAGTATATTGCTGGCTATAGTAGCTAGGTTATTTAACTACCTGAAGGACCTCAATGCTGAGAATGTTATTTTGTGTGTGTTATGGTGCTAGGTACTGAGGTGAATATAATGTTTTTGATGTTACTCTGAGTGTATATCCACACCGGGCAGGCTAAAAAGTTAGCCTGTCCACGGTGGGAATCGAACCCGCGACCTTTGGGATACTAGTCAAATGCTCTGCCAACTGAGCTACGGGCCAAGTCTGTTTGAGTGTGTGGTATTTCGAAACTAAGTCTACCACCTTCGATACCAATGTGTTTTATGATATGATATTTTGTGTGTTTTGGTGTTATGTACTCTGGTGAATATAATGTTTTTGATGTTACTCTGAGTGTATATCCACACCGGGCAGGCTGAAAAGTTAGCCTGTCCAGGGTGGAAATCGAACCCGCAACCTTTGGGATACTAGTCCAATGCTCTGCCAACTGAGCTACGAGGCCAAGGTTATACAACTATCTGAAAATAGGAAAATAATATCTTTGCTTTTTGAGCGATGCCCTTTGAGAATTCATAAATGCCAGGTCATTTCTTTCTGGAAAGTGTAACCCTTAAACCTTATTACTCAAATCTGCAGTATCGGCCTTGACATATTAGGTTGGTGGCTATTTTAGAAAGGGTTTCTATCATCAGAAAACTGGTTATAATGTTTTGGCAATTCCATTTTTTAGATTGGTATTTGAGTTATTCCAAATGATTTTTAAACCAAATTAAAACTTTTTATGTAACACAGTGAGATCAGTTCAATTTCACCATGATAAAATGGCAGTGTTTATTTTACCATAATGTTATTTCTTATCAAAATGTTTACTTTTAACAATAAAATCAATTGATTCAAGTGAGTCAATTCCAGAATGGATTATGGTAAAATCAACATCATTTATCTCTATGTGTGTGTTCCTGGGCAGAATGCTGAGGAAATACTGGGTACAAAGTTGAACTGGTTATCATTCTACTGTGGCTTTTATTCGTGCAAATTAAAAATCAAATATATAGAAATCTAGTTGATGCCTTTTTGCAACTCAATTTTTCCAAACCAACTGTTGTATATAAGCAGCTTCTGTAAAAAAGATGGTATATACAAACCGTGCAAGAGGTCTTTATCAGATTTAAAACACAAAAGTTTTTGCTTTGATAGTGACTGACATGCCGCCAAGTTTGTACTTCAAAATGGACACATATTTTGTGTGGAAGTCTCCTTAGTTGCAAGTCCCATGAGTTTCTACTCTGCTTATGAATGATTGAATTTTGCTTATGAATTATTATATTTGCTCTGTATATAAATTTTGACAGTTTAATTCATTAAAGGTGCATGTGCTATATTCGGATACAAGCGCATGCGCCTTTGTCTGCAGTTCGCTTATATACAGGGCAATGGGGTATTTAGTTCTATATTGTAAATATGCTGACTCTTTGAATAATGAAAATCATATTCACTGTAAATATTATATTTATAATGATTAATATTCATGTTAAGATATTAATACAGATATATATGTATATATATATATATATATATATATATTAAGAATATATTTTGTTATAATATATTGTCTAAAATAGTTTTCTATATTGTTTCTATACTGAATTTTTTAATAATAGAATGGCAAATTATTTATTATAATATTTAATTTTCAATATTTCATGCTAGAATTATGTTCCAAATTATATATTTAAAATTTATAAAAAACAAAATGTTTATTGACTATTATTGTTCAGTTCTTGCATTTTTGTTGCAAATGAGAATGAGTTGACCCACAAAGATCAATACACACACACATATTTGGGGGAATTTGTGCTATCCGTGGAAGTATGTTTTTGATAACAGTTGCATGAATCTACTAAGGCATCCAAAAA